TTCCAGCTCAACACGTGTCTTCGTCCCCATTCTCTGACAACTCACCGACCTCGACACCACCGAATGATTGAAGTCAGGCTACAACTTTCAAAGTCAACTCCAAGAATCCGACCTCAGTCCCATATTTTTAAAGTGATGCCACACACACATTAGTGCCTTTTGGAGAGTCAAAAACATATCTGAGAAGTTATTAGTACAAGTGTAAGCAAAGACTCAAGACATAGTTAAGCAAAGACTCAAGGCATAGTGCAAGACATGCCATGAAGCAATCTAACTACTAAGTAGTAATTTTAGGCCAATTTTTAGAGAGTCAAATGTAATCTTTTTGCCTTGTAAATTTTTATGTAAATACCTTAATATTAAAGGTATTTTGAGACCAAGAGTTATAATTTTTCTCTTTTATAGAATTTTTAAAAATCCATTATGACTCCTCAGACATAGTGGATATTTCCTCCTACCAGTTAGGAAAAGACATAACAAACTATATATAAGGAGGGAGTACCCAAGTGTTGAATCAAATCACTTGTGCCTTTAATGTACCCTAACCTAACTTATGGTAAGGCAACTTTTATAGCACTTGTAGTGCATTGTTCAACTATTATAATGCCTTCTTTTGAGTAATGAAAAGTACATTTCACCTTTTAATTGTGCAAAGCCTTTCAATTGTTGCTTACTTTAATTTTAGCTTGTTGATTGCTATTTTGTGGCTTGTCTCCAATCTTGTAGCTCATCAACTTAACTAATATTGCATTTACTTGCCCCTCACCCCTACAAGACCCCCACATGACCCCTACAAATCTGAATCATTCATGATGTGAACCTCACACGTACATAAATAGACCACACACATACATGGAGGGTTAGGATAACTTTGGGGGTATGTGGTCATCCCCAAAAAGAGTCTCAAACATTTTTCATTTTTTAAAGAGGGAATTAAGGGAATTAAAAAAAAGAGATTTTTAGTAATAAATCTCTCAATTTTAAATTTTGTTATCAAAAGTCAAGTTAAAAATATTTAATTCATTAAAAATAAAATTTAAAATATTAAAAAATATATGATAATAATATCCTCAATTTCTATTATTTTCTTGCATTATCACAACCACCACCGACTATTGTTTGCCATCATCGACCACCACCGACCATCGTTGATCACCCCAGTCGGCAACAATTTTCCGACAACCATTGTCGGTTGGCAAAAAAATTTCGATAAGATTCTCTGGTAACCGTAAAATTTTACTAAATTTTACTCTATTAGATAGTAAAATTTTACTATTTACTTTTAACATATAAACAGTAAATTTTTACCATTGTCATCACTAACTACCACACTTACTATAAATAATACCATTATTCATATAGATATTAAATGATAAATCAGTCAAAACATTGAATTAATAATGTTAACAGTAAAATTTTACTTTTTGACTTTTCTTATTTTTACTATTTCACTATTTTTAACTTCTCCTATACACTATAGTTAGTAATGAGATTATAAAATTATTTTTATAAGAAAATTAAAAAAAAAATAATTTGTATATAAAAAATATCTAAAACAAATATAAATTCTTATTAAAAAATAATAGGTTGCAATTGCGAAAAAAAAGAAAAAAATTATATTGTAAAAAATGATTTTTATATTAAAAAAATATCTAAAACAAATATAAATTCTTATTAAAAAATATCAAGTTGCAATTGTGGAAAAAAAAAAAGATAAAAAAATTACACTGTACATTTCATTAAAATCTTAAAAAAAATGATTGTATATTAAAAAAATATGTAAAACAAATATAAATTATTATTAAAAAATAACATGTTGCAATTGTGGGAAAAAAAAATTACACTCTGCATTTCATTAAAATCTAAAAAAAAATAATAATTTGTATATTAAAAAAATATTTAAAACAAATATAAATTCTTATTAAAAAATAACAGGTTTCAATTGCGGAAAAAAAATTCCACTATAAAAAATAATTTGTATATTAAAAAATATATATAAAGAAAATATAAATTCTTATTAAAAAATAACATGTTGCAATTGTACAAAAAAAAAAAAAAATTACACTGTGCATTTCATTAAAAATATTCAAAAAATGTGTCAAGTATTTGTGAAAAGACTTGACATGTGTCTACTCTCAAATTATCAAGTGAATATAGATGAAATCAAAGAATTCAGCTTTAATGACTAACAAATACTAAAAGTCCAACCATTGAAACCTAATAACTATTAATTAATAGAATTCAACAATTGAAAGGTCTCAAATCACATCTCTTTGTCTTCTCAAATGTTTCCATTTTTTTGGTTCATGCATTTATTCTAATACTGATAGAGAATTGGACATATGGAAGAGTGAGAGACATTAAATGGAGATTTTTTTTAAGGCCTCTGATATTAAGATTTTATAGCATAAAGGACACTCAACATTGATCCAAAGAATTTCTCTGGACGAATTTTCTCTGAACTTCACAAAAAAATTCTCTGGTTCACAGAGAATTTCTCTTGTCGAATTTTCTCTAGACATCACAAAGAAATTCTGGTTCACAAGTCTTCATTATTATTGAGAATTTCTCTGGACTATAAATCTGTAATTTATTGTAGAGTGCATTCACAAGGCTTCAAAATTTCTCTGCTTGTTACCTGATCCAGAGAAAATTCAAAACATTCCAGAGGAATTCAAAATTTCTCTACTTCATTCTTACTTGATCTAGAGAAAATTTAACCACTCCAGAGAAATTCTTTGATAGCCTTCATCATCATCATCTTCCTTCTACATCAAATAAGCAGTTGTAGTAACACCATGAAAGCCATAGAAGCAACAACACTTTGATAGTATTAACATAAATGCACAACAAGACGAATGATTAACTGGAGGTAGCATGGGCAATAAGAGTATCAACTCCACCCATCAATGACTTGATTTGACCCTTCTAGAGTAAGCTGGACAACAAGCAGATACAACACTTGCAAACTAGCCACCTATGATTTCACTTGAGTCAACAACAACTCAAAGAAAAAAGAAAAAAAGATAACCACAACTCTAGAAAAATTCTGGGAATCCAAATTTCTCTAGACTAGACTTCTCAGAGAAATTCAACAGACTTTAATCATCTTCAAACAATCTCTCCACGAGCACTTCTCTCCTAAGCTCTTCAACATAGCATGCAATTCCTTCGTCGATATCAATCCATTCCCATCCTAACCCTAACTCAGGCCTAAAGCAATCAATGTACCTGTAGGACAAGAAAGAGGTGAAGAAGGTGTTCAATCACTTCGACGCAAACGGCGATGACAAGATCTCGACGACGGAGCTCGTATCAATCATGAAAGCTCTCCAATCCAACACATCGAAGGACGAAGTGAAGCGGATGATGGAGGAGCTCGACACCGACCTCAACGACTTCATCAGTCTCAAAGAGTTCACCAGTTTCTGCAAGGGCGGCAACAACACCGTCGAAGTCGCTAGAGACGATGGCGGTATGGCAGGGCTGAAAGATGCCTTCGAGTTGTATGATCAGGACAAGAATGGAGTGATCTCGTATTTGGAATCGACGAGAGAGAGAGAGGAGTAGCGGGAGAAAGAGATAGAGAGCGTGAGATATATCAAATTTCTCTGTGATTGATAGGTGAGGGGTTTAGGGACCTTAGATATAAAAAAATAATATTATGGATCTCTTCCATTACTAAAAATGGGAGAGGGACCTTAGACTAATTTTCTCTTAAAATTATATATTGAGTTATAAAATTGTTGTAATGAAAAATAAATGTTGTCTTTCTCTTCTATAGCGATTTATCTGGTTATACCTCCACTTAAAATGTCAAGTGTGCTTCTACATCATCATTGAACGTTGCTTTTATTTTTTTTTAGATACTTTGTCTCACAATTGTTTATGTTTTGTGTTATGAAATTTATTACATACGTGTTTGCTAAAGCTATTAAATGAACCTAATGCAAGAAATGCAAGATGTCATTTTTTGGATTAAAAGTACAAAAAAACATACAAAAAAAGTATATGGATAAACAAGATTTTACAAAATTTATTTGTGAGTCTCACTTCACGAAAATCCTAGATTCATTTATTTTTTGTATTACATTTTATGTTTGGTTTCTGTATTTTTTTATATAGCTTTCTTTATTTTCTTTAAAAGTTTATTTTTAAAAATTAATTAATAAATAAATAAATCATTTTCTATTTCAAACAATTTTATTTTTGTTTTTATTTTTTTATTTTTTCTTAAAGTAGTTTTTTTGGACAATTATTTTTTTTTCTATATATTATAATTTTGTACATTTTAAGTGTATAATATTTTCACTAACACACTCAAAGATGCACTATAAAATAAGTATCATGCGAAAATCAAGCAAGAAGAAGAAAAATAAAGAAAACAATATGATCAATGTGGAGCAAAGATCAAAGATCAAAGATCAAAACTCCCAAGACAAGCAAACAAACAAGTAGAATAGAATGTTTAATAATATACATTTGAAAATTTGTGACAAGATTTTATAACTTTCCTTTTTGTTAAGAAAATTCTATTTGGTACTAAAAAGTTTTTTATAATTTGAAATTAAAACTATAGTAAATTTATGCAAACATAATTGCTACCCACATTTTTTTACTTAATGTATAATATTTATATTGACTATCTTTTTCAAATTTATTTTTTTAAGTATTTATATAAAAGTAAAAATAAAATTATCCCCACATCTATGCGTACTGTTGCATCTCTGCCCCATTTATCTCTTCTTCTTCTTCTTTCCTTTTCTTATTTTCTTCCTTCCTTTTTTTTTTTTTTTTTTTTTTTGTTTTTTCCCTTCCTTTTCCAGATATTTTTTTTGATGTTTCCAAAAAGGCAGATTGTTTGCATAAAAAAATTTCAAAAAGAATTTTCAGATAACAATTCGCTAAACTAGTTTTTTTTTTTTTTTTTCAAAAAGAGAAAAAGAAAAAAAAGGAAAAAGAAAAGGAAAAAGAAAAGAAAAAAGAAAGTAGATGCACAACCGTGGGTAATACAAGGGCTCTCTTCATCTTTTGAGAGCACAAATAACAAATAACATACAGAGCAAACCTACCTGCAAGTTCAAACTCAATCAAACCTCATGTATTGAAGTCCAAAGTTCTAATGTACCAAGATTACCACATCCTAATTATTTTGTTTCATTTTCATTTTTTGAATAATTTGTAGTGAGCAATAAACTTGATTTTTTTACACTTGCCAAATATATTTTTCTTGAAAACAAGATTAAATGCCATTGTGACACTGGGGTATAATGATAAATAATCAATCCATGATGTTCACTAAGACTTTATGTTGTCTAATGTTGTTTGGAGAGAAATGGAATGCTTAATATCACCCATTTGAATACTATGTTCCCCCATTTGCACACATGAATGTAAATCTCTGATAGAACATTTTTCTCCTTTAATATTCTCAAACTACAATAATATATATGTTTTTTGAGGCCATGTTTTTTCTTCTTTAATTTTGTTATATAATAATGAGCATATTTATAAAAGTTCAAATGAATTATTAATTTATTTTCAATAATAGGTGGAACCAATTCAAAAAATCAACCCGAGTTACTTCGGGTTGATTTGGTTCAATTTTAACGAATAATTAATATGTAGTTCTAGTTCAAAAAATCACAAACCCATTCAATTGTTTTGAATTTAATACTAACCCAAACCAAACCCCCATTCATTCTTGCAATGAGGTTTAGTAGGATTAGGTAATGATCATGGCAAACCCCCCTACATTCTTGCAATGAGGTCTAGTAGGATTATGTAATGATCATGTCAAACACACTAGGTGTTATCAAAAAAAAAATATGATCATGTCAAACACACTAGGTGCTATCAACTCTTTTAAGGCCACCCCTACAGGCTCTGCCTGATATTTGCCCCGATCACTTGGAGGGACACTTTGTGTGGATTTCGGAATTAGTCGAGGTGCGTGTAAACTAGTCCAGACACTCGGCCATCAAAAAAAAAAAAAATGCACTAGAAAAGCTTCATTATGTGCCCCAAAAGACAAGTTTAATACGTAACACTAAATTAATCCAATCCATTTTAGACAATAACAGAAGGCCTCATATAGTTGCAGAAAAAGGAATTAACAGAGCATTATGAAGATGCCTCCTCTTATTAGTCACATATTAGTGTATGATTCTTAGTAGCAGGACCCAACCTTAAAACTCTTTCCGCTCCCTTATAACCTGCTGACACTGACAGATCCCATCTCCTTTGCCTTAGTCCTCAGCAGATGCTTCTGTACCTTACCAGTTGCCGTCTTCGGCAACGGTCCAAACACAACTGATTTCGGAACCCAATATGCCGGCAGCTTTGAGCGACAGAACTTCATTATATCTTCTGCCAATTTCTGTTCATTGGATTTATCGAATCCTGGCTTCAATGTCACGAAAGCGCAAGGTGTTTCTCCCCACCGCTTGTCCGGCCTCGCCACCACCGATGCCTCCAAAACTGCCGGATGTGTGTATAGCATATTTTCAATCTCCACACTACTGATGTTTTCGCCTCCAGATATGATAATATCCTTTGATCGATCTTTAATCTCTATATACCCATCTGGGTGCTTTACGCCAAGATCCCCCGAGTGAAACCAACCATTTGCAAAAGTCTCGGCATTTGCTTTAGGATTCTTCAAGTAGCCCTTCATCACTAGGTTACCGCGCATCACAATCTCTCCAACAGTAGTTCCATCGGCAGGAACCGACATCATATCTTGGGTGTTGACTACATCAAGACCCTCCAAGGCAATATATCGGACGCCTTGGCGGGCATTTAGTCGGGCTTGAGTTTCCAGGGGCAATGCATCCCATTCGGGCTTCCATGCGCATATGGTGGAGGGGCCATAGGTTTCTGAGAGGCCATAAGTATGGGTGACACGGAAGCCGCGTTCAGTCATTGCAGATAGGACAGAAGGGGGTGGGGCAGCACCGGCCGTCATCACGTGGACAACATGAGGTAGGGGGAGGATGGTATCATCTGGTGAAGCATTTACTATTGTGTTGAGCACAACAGGTGCGGCACAGAAATGGGTCACCCCATATTTGGCTATGGCTGAATAAACTGCCTTAGCTGTGACCTGCAAAAATGCAATGAGCATGGCCAAGCTCAATGTCCGGAGTCAGTAATGGTAAGGACGAACCAAGAACTATAGCATAGAGAAAAATGTCATTCTATAATTCAAAATACAGTTAGAAACAAAATTATATCTTAGTTTGCCAGACCTAGAACGTAATTGTAGTCCAAAAGACAAATTCTTTTAAGGTTAAGTTGTCACCTACCACAAGCCTGGTTACAGGTTCGTCTTACATTTGTATCCACACAACATTTTTTATATCTTCCACACATACTCAAGCAACACAGATTAAAATCTCGGGTTAGATCTGACTACATCTAATCTATGAGACTATAATTGGACCATTTCCAATTTCATTCAATTTTTTCTTTTCCCTTTTAGCTAGATCAGGATCAAAGGGGGCATATCAGAAGTTGTATTAGCAGGATACACATAATTATTTTTATATGGTCATCATCAATTAAAAAGCTCAAGAGTTACCTGTCGAAGGCATATGCTTGTCCCACAAAGAGCCGCAAGTGTCCAAGGGAAACACCAACCATTGCAATGGAACATGGGAAGAGTCCATAGATATACAGCTCCTTCAGTCATCCCCCATATTAGAGCACCGCTCAAAGACATGAGATATGCTCCTCGGTGGTGCAACACAACCCCTTTAGGGCTGGCTGTTGTGCCAGAAGTATACCCCAAAGCAATGCTATACCATTCATCCTGTGGTGGCTTCCACGCAAACTCAGGATCACCAGTTTCGAGGAACTTCTCATATTCAATTGCCCCTCTTCCTAAAGCATATTTGAGTGACTTTGGATCACAGCTTTCATCAGCGATGACAACCAAAAGTGGAGGCTGAAAATTGCTTTTCATTTTGTCTGCCCAAATTTTCAAAGCTTCCTCTGCCAAAGGGAAAAACTCTTGGTCCACCATTACAACGGCAGCTGATGAATGTTGTAAGAGAAAAGAAATGGTTGGTGCATTTAGACGAACGTTGACAGTGTTTAGAACAGCTCCAGCCATAGGAACGCCAAAATGAGCTTCATAGAGGGCTGGGATGTTTGGAGCAACTACTGCCACCTGCCAACATAGGTTAGAAGTATAGAAAGTAAGCTGCAAAATGCCAATTACACTGAAAATAAAATGAAAATCATGCTATAATAGTGGCAATACTATTTCTCACATGTTTCTACCATTGAAGAGATACTCAGAAGAATTCAGGTAATTTGATCATGCATTCTATAGGGTTTACAATATCATCTCTATTTGCAATTAAACGAGAAGTTGGAAAATGAGAAAGAAGACAATGGTTGATCCATCATCTCGACATCACATATGCATTAAAAAAGACATCCATATTGCAGCAGGGCAGGGGGGATAGGCCACTGCTTCTATACATTTAGCTTTGCTGTTTTTCTCTTCTTTTGTTATTTTCTTTTTCTAAGTTCATTGAGATATCCATATTATCATATCATAGTGCCTATGGAAGAGCCATTTTACTCAGACATCTGTGTGTGTCATATTAATGCTATTTGATATCCATATTATGATTGGAATATCATGAGTTTAATTAAGAACAAACTAGTTTCAATGGTTAGTCGGTGGGTTTTAATAAACATGTCTCTTGACAATCTAAAAACTGTAAAATCAGCTCTTTTTGGCTAAAAAAGTCACCTTTCTATATATATATATAAATTTAAAAAAAAAAAATTACTGACACCATTCAATCTAATCTGCAATTTTTATTTTTATTTTTTCTTTTGGTCTCTTAAGTATTAAGATTTTTTAAAATAGCAGTATATCTAAAAGTTTTAATTCTTTTTATATAAAGACATCCCTAAATGCTTGAGGCGTCGAAATTTCGAAGCTCGAATGCCTCGAAATTGTTATTTATTTATTTATTTATTTTTTTTGCAAAGGTGGTTATATGTAGGGGATGTGCTAAAAAACTAGACATTCCACACCAACTTAGCCTGTGTGGTTTGATAAGGTGAATGAGTTGGATTGGACTGGTTGGATAATAAAATTGACTGATCAGTTAGACTGCTGATTAAAATTTGTTAATTCTATATAGTTTTATATGAGTCTATATTATATTTTTATTTTAAATTAAAATTTCTTCCAAGTCTTCCTGGTTTGAAATAAAAATATAATATGGACTCGTATAAAATTGTATAAAATTAACAAATTTTAACCAACAATCTAACTGATCAGTCAATTTTATCACTCAACCAATCTAAGGATTCGTTTGGGATGTGAGTTGATTTTTTAATTTTGTTTTGACTATTTTAACCTAGACTTAAAAGTCTCAAATTCTCTTTTTTAGCTATTTTAACCAAAAAGTCTCAAACTTTTTCTTTCCAAACGAGGGCTAACCCAGTTCACTCACCTTAGACCATCTCCAACGGTGAACCAAAGTTGGCATCAGATTTAAATTTTGATTAAAAAGGCTCTTTTTTATGCTCCAACCGTTGCACCAAATTGATATCAAAATGAGAATTCAGCAAAAAAAGCATCAAACTGAGAACAAGATATAGATTTTACCAAATCACTGTTACTGACCGTTGAAAGAAATACACTAGTCAACCAGCCGGTTGCCCGGCCGGTTGACCAACCGGTCGACCGGTTTCCTTTAAAAAAAGGTAGGTTTAAACTGGTAAAAAAGGTTCAAACAGATTAAAAAAAAAAAATTATCTTATCGGTTGACCGGCCAGTCGACCAACCGGTCACTCACCAACAAACACAATTGATGAATTGGGTACTGAAGAGTCTTTGGATGAATTGATTTTAATTTTTTTCCGGGTTCCCTTATTTTGTATGTTTTCATTACCCGTTTTATGCAATATATAGGATGCATAGATATCTTGTGCATGAATTCTTCAGGAATGCAAGCCGCATGCTACGTGCTCATAGTGAAATCCATGTAAACCACAAAACCACACCTCCATTTAAAGCTGCAAAAAAAAAATATATATATATATATATATTTATACTTACCGGTCGACCAACTGGTTGACCCACAGGATTTGATACGAGATTCGATGAACCGTTGGAGCAAGAAGTATCAAATTGAGGAAATGGTCATTTTTTTACTCAAATTTGGTGAAACATTAGGTTCACCGTTGGAGATGCTCTTATGTGTTAAGTTGGTGCTGGATATTTTTTTGGCACACGCTTAGCCACAACCACCCGAAGAAGAAGAAAAAAAAAAAAAAAAAAAAACAAAATATGATTCGAGGCATTCGAGGCCTCTAGCAGGACTGAAAAAATATATGTTAAACCAGTCCTAATCAATAATCAGAGCTAATTGGCAGCTCTAAAAATCAGACCACTAATAGCTCTAACGTGCTTTAAAAAAAATATATATATATATATTTGGGAGCTCTAAATTGGGAGCAAGCTCTAGAGAATGGGTTCCATTGATTAATGTGATGTTTTGGCCTTAAGTCTTTTTTTTCTTTTTTTTTAAATTTTCACGTTATTAGTGATTTATTAGTGCTCCCAAATTAGTGAAATGTATCATTATTGAAAAAAAAATAACAACAACATAGACACCATCACAACAGTGGAGGAGTCAGCTCATTAGTCCTCCCCTAATATATCTTTTTTAGTGATCCCAATCATTTTTTATCAATAATTTTGACCGCCGATGAACAGTCCTAATCTATAATTTGATTTTTCCAATTTTGACCAAAAATGAACACTCGAGTGAACCGATTCATCGAGCTAAAAAATTGTCATTGAAAAACAAACAACACGAAACACACAATCTACATAACTCTTTCCTTTCCTCTTCACATTTTTTCTTCCTCAGGAACCAAACAGTGGCTAAAACAGGATGATTCAAACTCACTGAGTTAAGAAATGAAGAATTGAAATTACCGTTTTCCCGTAGGTGATAGAGTGGTTAGAAAGAGCGCATGCGAATCGACGGCAACGCTGGTAGGTCTGGAGCCACGTGTAGTGCACAGATCCATGGATAAGAGATTTACGGTTGGGATGAACCAGAGCTGCTCTGTCCAGAAACCACAGAGGTGTTAATGCTGTGTAGTTCGCTTCGTTCTTCGGCAGATCGTCTATGTCTCTCCCTTCCACCATCTCTGCAACTGCAAAGCTTTTCTCTCTCTAGATGGCAGTGTTTGGACGTGATCTCACGTCTGTTCTGTTCCGGAGGGGACGTTTTTATAGGGGGTGTTTGGCAAATCGATTTTAGCCTCTATTTAGGGCTAGTTTGGCATGTACTAAATAAGTCAAAAAGTCAAAAAGTCACTATCTTATTTAAGTCACATCATCTTATTTAAATCACATCACCTCTCTAACACATCACATCAAACCCAACCCAAACCCACCAATAAGTCAAAAAGTACACTTTTTTAGGACATCCCAAACCAATCCTAAAATTCACAAAAATAAATAAATAAATAAATAAAATATGTTAAAATAATTAATAAAATCAAATATCAAATCAAATTTATAATATTTTTTTTTTTAAAATAACATATCTAATTACAAATTTTTTTTAAACTATTTTCTTAAACATAAAAATTTTAGCGTATTAAGGCTTCGTTTGGGAAGCCAAACCTTGGGCTTTTTTTAGTTAAAATAGTCACAAAAAATAAAATAGATTTTTTAGTCACAAAAAATAAAACATTACATCTAACCTATAATCATTACATTTTTTTCTTAAAAAAAAGTCAAACTCTTCCCAAATGAGATTTTTTAACCTTAGGCTAAAATAGTTAAAAAAGTCAAAAATTTAAAAAGTCAACCCACTTCCCAAACGAACCCTAAAATAGCCAAAAACTAAAATAACCTACTAAAATAGTAACTTCCCAAACACCAACACAGGTAGCAGGAAATTGTGGATTAAAATTAATTTTTTTATTTTTTTAAATATGTAAAAAAGTAAAGAGATAATCTAAAAAAATTTTAAAAATTAAGGTCAAGTTTGGCAAGTCCATAAAAAGCTAAAAAGTCAAAAAGTTACTCAAAAAGTTAAAAAGTTAACACTATTTACCAAAAGTCAAAAATTATGACTGCACAACTCTCAATCCTAATTTTCTCCTACACACTAATTTATACAACTTTTTTAATACATATTTTTCCGTAAAAAGTCAAAAAGTTAACCCAAACATCCATATTTTTTTCCTCAGTTTCTTAGTTAAAAAAGACAAAAAGTACACTTATTTAGGACACCCCAAACAACCCCTAACTTTTTGACTTTAACTCAATTGCCAAAATAAGCTTAAGAGTTTATTTGGCATTTGTCAAAATCGTACATATTATTTTAACATATTATTTTATTTAAGTTATCATTATCTTAATTGAGTCATATCATTTTTTATTTAAATCATATTATATTTCTATCAATCATGTCAATTTATTCGTATTTTACAATTTTTTTCATAAAAAATTAAAGAAAAATGTTTCACATCTCTAAATTATAAACTTTAGAAAAGCTCTAACTTGTAGGCTCCACTGTATAATTGGATGTTTTCACCTTTGTTTTGGTTTTTTTAAGTTGCCACTGTTAGTGTTCTTAATCACTACTAAAAATTAAAATACATGCTAATTTAATACTTTTCAAACAATCCCTAAACAAAAACAAAAAATTAATATAAAAAAAGTTTACAAAATTGATATAATTAGGATTTGAAATCCATGCCTAGACCTTTTTTTATTTTTCTTTTTTTGATAACGACATGCCTAGACTTTTGATGTGCTTGACATCTTCGTCTAATTTCTGATGTCATAAAGACAGCAATAATATGAAAATTAATCAGTGTGTTTGTTTTGAGTTTTTTGAATTAAGTTTTTTAAAAATGTAGTCTTTTTATTTTTATATTTTTTTATTTTTAGTTAATATTTTTAAAATTTTAAACATATTTTTTTACTTTTTTAGATACACCTTACTTAGATGTATCTAAAAAGTAAAAAATTTGTGAAAAAATATTTTAAAAATTTAATAACTACATAAAAATATAAAAAATATACTGAATTCTCGTATTTTTTTTATATTTGTGATATTTAGTGAATTTTTAAAAGATTTTTTTCACAAATTTTTTACTTTTTAAGTATATTTATGTTAGGTATGTCTAAAAAATAAAAAAAAATTACTTAAAATATTAAAAAAATTCAGTAAAAATAAAAAAATATAGAAAACAAGAAAGTAAAATTTTCTGAAAAGTATTTTTAAAAAACACAACCAAGCACAAATTAGTATATTAATTATTATTATTTTAAAATTATGATTTTATATATTATAAAAATTATAAAGACTTAAATTTTTTAAAATTTGTTCAAATATTATTTATTTATTTATATTTTATTTTCATCTATTTAGGTGTCATTCGTCTGTCAATTTATCTGTTCAAATCTATTTGTTTGTCTAAATCATTATCATTACTGCTACTATTCCTGTCAATGTCAGCGGACAGTGGTGATGGTGTGATGGTATATGAGCGTATAACAATGCAAGAGTGGAAATGAAAAGAAACCACCTACAAACTAATAATTTATCATTTTTAACAAAACTTTTACTAACACGTTTTTATAGACGGAATAAGCCCTTCGTTTGAAAAGTATGGTCAAATTTGGCATGATTGAAAGAAAGTAAAAAATTAAAAAGTTACTATTTTATTTGAGTCATATCATTTTATTTAAATTATATCACTTTTTTAACACATCACTTTAAATTTAATCTAAATTCAACCCATATTTCATAAATAGTCAAAAAGTGTACTTATTTAGTCTTCCCAAACTAGGCCTAACTTTTTTAGTTAAAAAATTAAAAAGTTATTAAAAAAGTTACAAAATTAACAAATTTTATCAAAAAATTAAAGATTTTTTATTTTTCATTTTTTGTACATCTTTTCGTAAAAAGTTAAAAACTCATTCTAAGCATACTAATTTTTTTTATATCATATTTATTCAAAAAATCAAAAAATTACTAAAAAAATATATTTCCAAACGAGGCCTAAATCAATCATTAAACCTACTACTAATACTTATAGAAATGAATTATTTATCATTTTTTTTTTATTTTTAAATTTACCTTTTAAGGAAGTATTTAATGCCTTGTTTGGGATACTCTAAAAAAGTCAAAAAGTCACTATTCTATTTAAGTCACATTATCTTATTTAAATCACATCACCTCTCTACCACATCACTTCAAACCAATCCATACCCGACCCATATTTCATAAAAAAATCAAAAAATATAATTATTTAAATCATTCCAAACCACCTCGAACTTCTTGATTTTTTTTCATAATATTAGACTATTTAGATAAGCTTAGTATCACGTTGTCGATGGTGGAGGAGGGATGGACTGTGAATGGAGTGTCCTGTTTTTTAATTTTTTGTATATGTTTTTTTAAAAAATCAAAAAAATAAAATAAAAAATTAACTTTTAACTTCTCAAAGCAGGCCCAAGCGGAGAAAAATCGTTATTTCTAAGTCTTCATTTGGGAAGTGGATTAGTTTTTTAGTTTTTAAATTTTTTAGCTATTAGTCTGGGTTAAAAAGGTTTGTTTGAGATGAACTTTTTGATTTTTTTGAGAGAAAAAATGAAATTATTATGGTTTGGAGGAGAAGGGGGCATTGTTGTGCTAAACACAACAGTTACTACTGAGCCCTTTGTGGGAGGTTGTCCCGAGTGTTTTTTAATGATTTGAACTGTTATATTGTAGGGTCGTCGAGTAGATCATCCATACAAAAAATCAAGTTGATTGGATATTTATAGTCCTATAACCAAAACACATTTGTTTTTATAAAAATTAACGGTTAACATAACTTTCATAAATTTTAAAAAATAATTAGGACCTAATCATGGGGTTATGAATATCCGATTAATTTAATTTTTTACATGAATAATATTCTTGACAAACCCTATAATATAAACGGTTCAGATTATCGAAAAACACTCAGGACAACCTCCCACAAAGGGCGCAACACTGCTGCACCTTAGGCACATAAATATTCCCTTTTTTTTGTTTTGGATGTGACATCTTATTTTATTGATTTTTTAACATATTTTGGAATTATTTGAGAAGTGGGTTTGGGGCTTAAATAGTCACAAAAAAATAAAATAGGCTTTTTAGTCCCAATAAGACAAAAATCACATTCAACTCATAATCATTACATTCTTTCTCTCACAAAAAAGTAAAAAAAAACAAAAGTGCTTCCCAAATCAGACTTTTTAGCCATAGGCTAAAATTGCTAAAAAAATAAAAAAACTAAAGAACCAACTCACTTCCCAAACCAATTTATCTTTTTGTAACTAAAATACTCACAATCTCACATGTCAAACATAATAACAAATAAGGACATTAAAGTCATTTTAATTTTTCTGTTAAGGGAGAGAACCAATAAATTCTAACAGACGGGTATCATAATTTTCAAAGGATTAAGGGTATGTTTGATTAGTAGAATTATAGTATATGATTAAGATTGTTAGTTTATGGACTTACAATTTAATATTTAATTATAAATTTTATTAACGGAATTACATGTACAACGTACATTTAATCTGATAAAATTGACAAATTTTTAATATTGAGAGGGATTGGAATTATAAATTCAAGTATGAAAGAAAAAAAACAAAATAAATACATAATAAATGATTATCTCACCAATTTAATTGAATAACTAATTTTATATTAACTCGCGAGATTATTAATCATTTCACTATTAATTATGTTAATCAAACCAATCATAGAAGAATATCTTTATTAAAACCAAACTTCCCTAATATAAGTGTGATTTACATGAAATTGACTCTTGGCCTCGTTTTGCAATTATATGTTTTAGTTAAAAAGTTAAAAAGTCACTATAAATTATCATATCAATCTCTTTGGCTCCATTTGATTAGGGTTTCAAATTATAGTTTCACCAATTGATTTGAGTGTATTGTTTGGTTTGAACTTTAAAATCATAATTCTACACCAATTTTTCAAAACTCAATTCAAAACATAATCATTACTTTTCAAAACTCATAACCAAACACATGATTTAAATTTTTTTTCAAAACTCAATTCAAATCAATATTTTAATTTTTTAAATATTTTAAATATTTAAATATGTTAATTTTTTTTTTAA